TTATTTTGTAATCAAGAAACATAAATTTGAAAACAAGTGAAAATGAGTTTATAATATGAAGTAATATATTTATTAAATTTTTTATCATTTTTTTAATGTAATTCTATATTTTAAAAATTTCAAATTCTGAATCTGAGAACACTGATAACATTAAAAAGTCGTTTTCAGAATTTCCACGGTTTAGATCATAGAATCTGAAAACAATTTTCAAAAACGAATTTCTCAAATTCTGTCAAACGCGTTGATTTAGTGAATCTAAAAATAAAAAACAAGATCCGAGTTTCCAACTAAACAAGCCTTATATTTTCAATGGTACGATATTTTGATTCTTAAACTTGAAAAACTTAAATTATATATCATTTTGTTATAGATTATGTTTCCACTTAGTCTCTGTTGTGTACTTGATATTTGAGTATCTAATTATTTGTCATATTATTTAACTTAGCCAAAAAATTATTCGATATGGGCATACAAACTTTTCTAGGTAAAAGTCCTCCCTCTCACGGCTGATTACTACCTCTCAATCTTAACTTGATGATGGTCTCTTATCACAAACAACTATTCTAGTTTGTTCGTGAACTCAAATTTAGATGATCTATACAAGAATAGGATGAAGTTTGAGTGTGACTAAGTAAAGGCTCGAACCTATTATTACTGAAGAGTTAGAAGCTGAGTTGGACGTTCGATTTCTCACTCTCTCCCCATAGCTCTCTCGTTCCTATACAAGCAATTTGGAATTAATAGTTTGATGCCCATCCCCCACATAATCCATTATCCCTTTAGAGGGGAGATAAATCAAAATTGTTGAAGGTTAAAATTGTAAAAGAAAAATGGATCAAATCCCATGAGCATCTAAGAAATCCAAGCCAAATTATTCACATGGGTTTGAAAATTAAAGCACCTCTATTGTGATCACATTTGGTATTTTTGGACATGTGATATTCGATACCAAATGAATGGGAGAATATGAATCTCCACTTTTTATATCTCTCACGTTTCAATCCAATATAAACGTTTATGTAATGTCACTAACGCTCGGACATATTCTGAATTTTCAAACTTTCAAATATTCTATACATTTTGAAATCATTTTACATATATTTTGTAAGGAACATAATATATATGATTCCAACCTTATAAATGTTTTCAAAATTATAAGAGTTATTTAATTTTTAAAGCACAATGATTAAATAAAGTAATTTCCAAGATTATAACTTTTTTTTATTTCATTTTATTTGGAATTGAGAGTCATCTTTATCAATTTATTATTATTATTTTGTGTGTATGCTAGTACTTAATTTTAATATTTAAAAAAGTTAGATTCCTAGAATTTCAAATTACCGACTTGAAACTAGTCCACAAAATAATCCTATAACAATTTAGTACATCAAACATGCCACATCTACTAATGACAACAATGACCTATTAGACAAAGAGAATATAAAAGTTTATGGACCTGCATAAATTTTGTAAACTACACCGACCAAACAAACACAACCTATTAAAGTTTAGTGACATCCAAATTCGACGTCATTTATAATTTCGATGGACTAATAATAAAGAGATAAATATCCCAATCTTGCTTTAAAAAAAAATAGGAAAGATTCTTGTCTATTATACTCTCAAATGCAAGAAAATAACAATAAATTAATAGAAAACATTGTCACTTAAGCGTCAATTAGTTAAAGACATATTTTCTCAACTGAGAAGTCAGAGGTTCGAATCTAACACTATCACATTTTTTTAGTACAACATATGAGGTGGAGATCGAACTCATAACTTTTTGATTGGAGATATATGTCAATTATGATGGAGCATTTTTGACACATCTTCCCATTTAGTATCTTTGCCAACTAAAAGTTCGGACTAAATCGTTAGGAAGAATAGAGAGAGACAATGCTTTTACCCACTGTTTTCCCTCTGTAAATCATTAATATTCTGTTTTTTTAAAGTCTTCTTCCTCTCATGGTAGTGGGAAAAAAATAAAGGCATTTTGGAAGCTTTTGGCCAGAAAATCTACATAAGTCTGTACAGCTTCAGATATGGTTTACACAATGATGGGACTGAACCAAATCTTCACCAAAACCCACAAAGGATCCCCCAAAGATTTGAGACTCATCTCATACTCTCTCTCTCTTGTTTATGTGTCATGGAAATGCAATAAATGGTAACTAATGCGTACCTCATCGTTTTAAATATTGACGTTGATGAAAATATGTTAGAATTTAATTTATTGAAATATTGATGAATATCATTACCGAAAAGAATTGTAGAAGTCAAGAAATTGTTAGAAAACGTTGAGATAGATTGATAAGCCTTTAACATGTTTTAGAGAAATTGAAAATTGTCGTTGTTTCTTTTTTGTTGGTTAAATTATAAGTTTTGGCACTTTTTACTTGGAAGGATAGTGTTTAATAGGTCTTTAAACTAGAAAAAGAAAATAATAATATATACTTGAATTTCAACATTGACGAGTCTAATAGGTCATTTTGAATTTTAAAAAGTGTCATTAGCTAGTTCTGAATCTTTCGATTTCGTGTTTAATAAATCTCTTCCATATGAGATAATTTTTAAAGTTTAGGGAACCTATTGAATATAAAATTGAAAATTTAGGGATTTATTAGATATTTTTTAAAGTTTAAGAACCTGTTAGATAGATACACACTGTACCATTTTTAAAGTTTGGAAACTTATTAGATACAATTGTCATATAGACCAAATTTGTAATTCAACATATTTTAGAATATAAATCATTATTATAATTAATACTAAGTTCACTTTTCAAGAAGGGGGTGAAATATTAATATGAATATTTTTTTCAAACAATTACATAGTTAGAAATTTTTTATTAATACTAGGTTAGCTATTAAAAAATTTCTAACGATGTAATTGTTTTTTTTTAAATAGTTTATTGATATTTTTATAGTTCAACAATAATTCGATTAAGAATGATAATTATGATATCACTAATATTTATTCATTCAGATCTTTTAAATTTTTTTTTAGTACATTATGTAAAGGTGGGAATTCGAAATCTCACTCACATATCATAGATGTCTTAATCTATTGAATTATATTCCGATCCGTTCAAATCTCTCGTGTTGTTGTCGAATTCTCAAAATACATATAACAATGTAGATGAAAAGGAATTTAATATCTGACGGGATAAGGAATACAATGATTCTACCTTGGAATATGAAAAAAATATATATATATATTTTGAACCCCACCAATCTTTGGTTTTGGCTTTAGCATTTAACCCTATAAATACCCAACAACTTAGATATCCTTCTTTCATGTCTCTCTCTCCCTCTTGAAGCTTTCTGCCATTTTTCTTATTATTATTTCTTCTTCTTCTTCTTCTTCTTCTTTCTGACAACCTCGTTTTCCTCTCTCTTCTGTCCAAAATTTAATTGCTAATTTAATTTGTCCACTTCTTTATTTATTACTGCAAAACAGTGCCTTCATTTGTTTCTGTGTGTCTCTTCATATTTTTTATTTCTAGTTTAGTTAATTTTGGAGATCTATGGAGGCTTCTTCTTCTTTGGATTGGGATTCTGAAATTGGGTTCCAGCCCCATGTTCTAGCTGTTGACGATAATCTCGTCGACCGTAAACTCGTCGAGAAGTTGCTCAAGAACTCCGCTTGTAAAGGTACATATTAGGCTCTACAAGATTTCTGTTTAAATCTCATTTTAGTGGTTGAGGTTTCAAGATTTCAGTAGTTTCAAAATGTATAGTTTTGGTGTCTTTTTTTCAAAATTAAGATATAATCGTTTTAGAGGTGAAAGACTAAAATAATTATTTTTTTAAATTATAAGAACTAAAATAGACGTGTTTTAATAGTTGTGATAGAACTTAAAAATTTAGGAACTGACATAATGAAAAGTGAAATTTAAACTTATAATTTTCCATGGCATTAACGTTTCTTTCAGTGTTCAAATGGGTTTCTGTTTGGCAGCCCAGAAAATTCTCTGGTGTTCTCTAAATAAAGTGAGAAAATCTGGAAAGAAAATTTCAAGGACAATTTTTTTTTTCCTTAACTTTTTTTTGCAGTAACAACAGCAGAAAATGGTCGCAGTGCTTTGGAGTTTCTGGGTTTATTGGATGATCATCAACACAGCAACTTAGAACGTAGGAGTGTAAGTAAACTCAAATTTTTTTTCCAAAAAAAATCTGTTTGTTTGGTGAGAAAATGAAGGAAAATTCAGCTGGATTTTTTTTTTCCATGAAAACCATTTCTTATTGTGAATTTGCTTTTGCAGAGATCGAAGGTGAACATGATCATCACAGATTATTGCATGCCTGGCATGTCTGGATATGAACTCCTCAAAAGGATTAAGGTATGGTTTCTCATTTCTCGTTTTAATGTTATCAAGATTTATAATATAAGTTGGACAGTTTCTTATAAATGTGAGAGAACAATTACTTGTATTTTAAGCATGAAACAAAAACGAGAATGTACCCAACGATAATGAACATGATCATCACAGATAATTGTTTTTGCTTTTTAAAAAATAATGAACTGGCAATTTCTTTTTTTATAATGGTCAATATGAAATAGGTATTGAAGAGTTAGCTTAGAAAACAATTCCCTCTTGTTGCAGAGATCGTCGATAATGAAGGAAGTTCCCGTGGTGATCGTATCATCAGAAAACGTCCCCACTCGCATCAACAAGTAAATAGAAACCTCTCTCTCGTCTCCGACGATAAAACTTCAAGATCTCAATTTCTTACTACAACTTTTTTAGACGAACGACGACGATCGTCGCTTACTTTACCTTCTTCTCGCTCAATCGTACTAGTTTATTTTTGAACAGGTGTTTAGAGGAAGGAGCTGAGATGTTCATGTTGAAACCTTTGAAGCAATCTGATGTGGTGAAACTACTGAAATGCCAGATGATGAACTGAGATAAATCTAGAGAGAAATATTTTTCCAGTTTAGATTTTTTTCTTTCTTTTTTCGGAAGATTTGAAAGGCCTTGAGCTGTTTTGCAAATTTTGTGGATGCCACTGTTCAATGGATTTAGGCTGCAATATTCCAATGATTTTGGATTTATAAATATGTCTAATCACTTCATATTGGTAATTTATTTGGGAGAAAATTTTTTTTAGACTTTTATTCCTGTTGTCATGTCGGCATCATTTTTAAATATTATGAATTATTTAAGACAAATTATAGTTCGAATGGAAAGAGTATGTAATTGCAATGTTTAATTTTTTTTTCAATATCTTTGGGTTAAATTAGTTTGGCAAAATAATATTTAACTTTGTTTGGTAAATTTTAAATTAATTGAAAAAATGTGAGTGACAGTTTAAATATTTTTTAGTACAAAATTGAGAGATGTAGATCAGTCAAATATAATATTTGAGTGATTATACATTAAAAAGAAAGAAAAGGTCTTTAATTAAGGTTTAAAACCAAGGTTACCAAAAAAGAAAGTTTTCTCTATTTAAGATTTCTAAAATGTGAGCTTGAAAATTTAGGATCTAACTCAGCAGTCATTCTCCCTTTTGTTAAAGGTCCAAATTTTTAATTGGGATTTAAGTTGGTAGGTTATGTTGTGTTTGGTTGGTAATTAGAAAGCAGAAATTTGAAAACAACGGATTTAATGAAAGTCAGGATTGTATCGTTTGTTTTCAGTGTTTTCAAATATGTGTTTGGTAGGAGATTTTGTAATTGAATCTCAATTTAAAAATTGTTAAATGTTTCTCTGGCAATATATTTGTAAATTAGATGTAGTTACAAACTAAATTTTAATTTAATCTAAACTTATATTAATTAATTTATGAATTTTGTATATTTATTATTTTACAAAGTTATATAATTTAAAATACATTATATTTTACATGTTTCAATTTTAACAAGCATAAAATGAGTTTATAACATGAAGTAAAATATATTTATCAAAAGTTTTTATTTTTTTAATGTAATTTTGAATTTTAAAAATTTCAAATTCTGAATCTGAAAACACTGAAAACATAAAAAAGTCGTTTTTATAATTCTACTGTTTGGATCATAGAATCTGAAAACAGTTCTCAAAAACGAATTTCAAAAATTCTGCCAAAGGCCTATTCGTTGAATCCATTTGATTGAGTGAATCTG